GCACGCACACACACACTCATGCTTCCCCCACTGATGCCAGACGCTCCCTCCTTCAATCCAATCTGCAGTTTATTATTTTTCTTTCGTCTCCTGCCATCTTGCTCCTTCACTTGCCCTTCCATTCCATCTACTCCTATCTGTCCATCCATCTTCTATCCTCCCTCCTTTGCCGCACCTCCTTGCGCTCCATCCTTTATTGTTTGCCCACCCACCCACCCAACACCCTCCTTCCTCCTACCCTTCTATTCTTCCTCTCCCTCCCTCCCCCTCTTCTCCTCCTCTCCAGATGTCCTGTTCCTATCTTCCAGACTCCCTTGCTCCTTTCTTTCCCTTCTGCCTCCTGCGCTCTCAGTCTCTCAAAGCTGAGCTGACTTCCTGACCTCAGGAGGCCCTGTTACAGCGCTCAGTGACCCCCCCCTCCCAGATTGGCTTCTCTCACCCATGCAAGCTGAGTCGATGAATTTTTAAGTCTCCAGACATGGGACAAACTGTGATTTCAGAGCTCCCCTGCTGTTAGCAGCTATTCTTTGTACACACCACGTTTTGTCGATTGTAGCCTTCAAACAATTGACAATTTCTTGAAACTGAAGGGACAGCAGGAGGAGAGGAAAGAAAAATTACCATTGTGGATGGGATAGGAGAGCGACTTCATCAGTGTCTTTGACCCTGGCATGCCCTTGACTCGCCAGCAGAGGTGCACCTTGAGAAAAGTCCATGTGACGCTTATGCTCGTGTCCACATAAGCACACCAGACAGCAAGATATATACACACACGTATGCACGACAGACCCTCAAGGCTCCCTGTTCTCAAGGCTATCAGTGGAGTGAGGGTGGCTGATGTTTGCTCAGCTTTGAGGCCCATTTCCCGTCCCAGCAGTCTCCTAAACGCTGGTGCAAACCTCTCCAATGAGAGATGTCAAGAATGAAATTATATTTTGGACAATGTTGCGAAAATGAAGAAAAAAATGTAACTACGGATCTTCTGTGACTTTTCCCGATTGGTCAGATTCTTCAGCTGTGGCACAATCTTATCGGATGGGAGGCTTGGGGGGCTGGGGGGGCAAGCGTGGTGAGGGGTAGGAAGAGAGGGGACATGGGTTGTGTTTGTCCAAAATGACAGTATGGACCAAGGGCTTATCAAGACCTTTGTAGATTATTGATTGGAGCAGATATGTGAGGCACGGGAGGCTTATGGGCCAGTGCATGTTCGAGGTTTGCAAACCTCTGGCTTGACTCGCTCAAATGTCAGTTTCAGCTCTTGTTTTCAGACCATTTACTGTGTGCAAACTTTAGATTACTTAAGACACGGGTATCACAAAAATACTTATTGGATATCAGAGTCAGATAACCCCCCATCTGTGGCATTGAGTGCGCTACAAAATCTATAAATTCCACGTCTCACAAACACAAACACAGTGACCAAAAAAGCATGGGAAGTGTTGGTATTCCCAGGCTGAGTTGGGGTTAGGAATTAACCTGGCTTGCAGCGAGGGCTTATGTTGTGTCCCTGCATTTCATCCTTCAAGGCAAAAGCTTGCTAGAACACTCACTCACACTTACACACACACACGCATACAGCCTTATCTTCCAGGGTCTTGTCTTGTTTGGCTAACACTGTGCAAATAGAAGGTGCAATACATCTCCTGACAGTTCCCAAAAGCAAAGGGGAGAAACACGTTGGTCAAACAAACAGCCAACCCTGAGTCACCGAGAGAGAAGAGATTTCTCAGGCTTTACCGAAACACATGCGAAAGACACAGGCCCGTGCACGCGCGCATGCGCGCACACACACACACACACACACACACACACACTTACAGACTTGCACACAGAGTGTGTAACAGTAGCCTTTATTTTGAGGGCTTGGGCCTCTGGCTACCTTTTTAAACGTTTGTCTAAGCAGTCTTAAGATGAGGGCTGCTGCTGGAGTGAATAGCTCCCAGCAAGCCGTCCACAGGCTCCTATTGTCCTCAGTCATATTTTATTATCTCATCAAAAAGCAGGAAATCCGATTCCCTCTCTCTGAAAAAGAGCTTATCCTTCTGTCTCAAAGCAACCTGTCACGAGTGAGAGAGAGATGGACAGAATGGGGAGAGAGTGTCGTGGGGGAGAGGGGGCAGCCATTGAAAAAGACTGATTTACCGCCTTAGTGCTATCAACCCTACTTTCCTTTTTCTTCCACCCTGCCTTTCTCCTTGATTAGAAGGCCCCCTAACACCAAGCACAATGTAAATGTCAGGGTATTGCAGCTTTATCATCTTTGCCGATTCTTTCCACCCCTTTTCCCACTCCGTCTTCTGCTTTTCATATTGTGTTACACAGGGCGAGAGCATTCATTTTCATGAGAGCTCTTTATTGGTTGTTTTTTGAATGCTTTGCCGCTGCCTGCCGCACGCGTTTGCCAGCCAAACTTCAACATAAGCAAGACAAGAAAGTTTACCCCTTCTGTGTTTTGCTAGTCCAAATTAAAAGGCATCACATTTAAGCTTACTTTTTTTCTCCACTTTTGAAAAATGGACCAAAAGTCAAAGAGAAAAGGTTTGTTTTCAGATTTAGCCTGCTTAGCAATAGATTCACTCTCAGTCACCTTGTTTGCCTTTTCCAGGCGTCACTCCACTCACACACACACACACACGCAACTCCACATCCTTCCCTTGCCACCACTTCGCTGCCTCTTTCCATCCATCCCTCTCTCCTCCCTCTCTGTTTGTACATCTGTCCTTTAATTTTGGGCTCTGCTGAGAAGTTGTTAAAAACCCCTATGAAATATGTATGAAGGATTGTGAGCCACGCGATTGGCCCCATTTACCGGACAGCCGAGCGAATGAACGGCCACACTGGATAATCCCCCACAATGCCTCTGGAACAAAGGCCCAACAGCTGACCCTAGAGAGACATAGAAAGATGAAGAGGGAGGGAGGGAAGCAGTGAGGCGGTTTGGGGGGGTTAGAATTGGACAAGGTGGAAGGGGGTGCAAACAGTTTAGGCTCACTGCTGGTCAGGAGGAAGCTCAGTCACAGACACACACACACAACTCACATGTACTCGCAAAACAAAGGCTTGTGGGACAGGAATAACTCCCTTGTTCTGTTGCGCCGCTCTCTCTCCTTAGACTCTTCTCGGCCCCTCCTTCTCTCGCCATCTCTCCCTCCCTCCCATTCTCACTCTCTCAGTCAAGAGGATCTGAAATACCAATACCCTTTTCTCCTTGACATTGCTTTCTCCTTGCAGTCAGCATTTTGCTGTCCTTTTATAGTCAAAACGTCAGGAGAAATTCCATGCAGGAATATTCTTAGTAATGCGGCACTCCCTGCATCTAACACCAGGGAGCTACGCGGCACCGTCCCGTTAGCGAGGTCTTTCAGGAAAAGTGCACGCAGCATACACACACACACTTACTGTAGCTGGCCTCAAAGCGGGGTCATTGTGCCAGTATTCCGTGAACGACAAGCAGCCCAAACAATGAATTATATCCACTTTTATCCCACCAGACGGGAATTCAATATTTGGGGAATTGGGTTATCTTTCGTTTTTTTCCTTTCCCCCTCTCTCTCTCTCTCCGTCAAACACACACAGACACACAGTGCACAAGCTCCTTATTCACAACTCACCTTTTCACTTGAGTAGTGGACAGACACACACACACCAACCAGACACACAGGCATCTTAGCCTCCATTCATCACCCCGAGGGGGGTTGGTAGCTGTCCCATGTGTGTTTAAGTGCATATGTGTGTGGTTGAAGAGGCCTGTCGGTGTGTGTGGGTCCTTGTCCATCGGTGTGTGTGTTCCAGTGGCCACTAACCTTGCTGTGTCCTGACACTCCTGATGAGTATCTGCAGGACACTGGAGGAGAGGAGTGGAGTACGCACTGTCAGGCATTTGGGCAGGCTGCTGCTGTATGTGTGTGAGACAATATGTGTTTGTGTGTGTGAGCATCGAGGGAGGCGGGCAGGCAGACAGTCAGCATTATCCAAGCAGGTGACCCCTGAAGGCTGCGTCGCCCTGGAGCTCTGAGTCGAGGAAAGAGACTCAGCCAAATACACCAGGGTACCCGGTGTGTGAGTGTGTATGTGTGTGTGTGTGCGTGCAGCGAGCATTATGTAGAGCTCTGTCACAGTACAGGATGTGTCATCTCCTTGGCACAAGGAGGTGTGTCCGCTGGTGTGTGTGCTCACACCAGCATAAGCGTGTGTGTCTGTGTGTGACAGAGTGTTGGCTTGGGGGAAGGTGTCACAGATCTTTGCCAGACTAATCATCTCCATGGTGTCGGTGAGCGCTGCTGTCAGGGACACTAAAGAGGCAGCGTGTCTCCCCGTTCCCAAAGCATTTAGTACTTCCTCTTTCGCCAGCACCTCTCTGTCGCTCTTCAGCTCCGCTCTCTTGTTTGGTCGCAGATTTACAGTGGGACTCATAAACATGTCACGCCCGCCACGCTGCTGGTGGAAGGTGGGGGAAGTGGGAGGTGTGAGAAACCTGAGAATTCGCAAGAAGTGACTTTTCTCAGGCCAACACCTCAACCGGCGTTTAAGGAAGTAGCGACTCAAGAGACAGGAGATTTATGGTTTTACATCCACTTTGAAAATATGAACATATTCTATAACTGGGGGGGCGAAGACTGTCGCTGTTTGGGAAAGTTGGTTTGGGTTTTGGCAGTCGGTCAAGTTTCGTTCCCATTTTCCTCAGTATTCAGTGGTCGAAACACTTTTAGGGTTTGCATTATAACGAAGTGCCTTAAAATCAAACCACTACAACGGTGCTTTTGTGTCGAGTGACATAAAGGACGCAAACTTTGCAGTGAGACTTAAAATACCTTAAAATAGGATTTCCTCCGTGTACTCCTCACATCTGTTTACACAATTGCTCATTCCTTCCTTTCTGTGTTCGCGAAGGTCCCTGATCGTTTCCTGGAGGTGGCAGAAATCACACTGCGAGAGTTCTTCAATGCCATCGTGGCCGGCAAAGACGTGGACCCGTCCTGGAAGAAGGCCATCTACAAGGTCATCTGCAAACTGGACAGCGAGGTCCCAGAGATCTTTAAGTCCCCAAACTGTCTCCAAGAGCTTCTACATGAGTAAATTTCACACCCCTCCTCTTCCTCCTTGCTTACCGCTTTGCGCTTTCTTTGTTTTTCTGATTTCATAGAATTTCAAAATTATATTATGATTTGTTTTTTTCCCTTTTCTTCAACTTTACTTTTGATTTCCTGTTTTTTTTCTTGTTTGTTTGTTTTTGTTTTTATTTTTATTTTTTGAATGTATGAAAGTTATGGAGTAGCATTCCCAATCTAAAGCCCCTTGTGGCAGTTCCTAAATGACCTAGCTATTGTGTTCTTGTTCTTATATTATGCTGGTTATTATACGTTTTGTTTTTCTATGACTCTGAATTGAAGAGGCTCTGATCTTATTGGGTGTTTTTATTTTTATTTTCTTGGACCGTGTGAACACTCTGTTTGGCCTGTTCTGTGATCAACACTAACGGCGCCCTCCATGTGTGGAAAGAGTTCCCGAGTTCCCATTTATACTGCTAAGAACATAGGCTGGGTTCCCTGAAGACTTGACTCGTGGCACCCACAGAGGCCCCTCCAATTCAGGGGGTATCCATGTGAACTGCCCCACCCTAACCCCCTCCTTCCTTAATACAAAGTGGGTGCCTAATAGACTGTGCTATTGAAGATGTCCCTAACAGGACAGGCACATGCACACATGCACACAAAAAGCAAGGCCTAGTGAGGTTGTTGACTGGACTAAAACTGGACTTTTGGTACTGGTCTGTGAGACTTGGACCAGTTTCAAATAGCTACTGAGCTCTACCATTTTTCTTTTTTTTCTTTTTTTGAAGTGTGTTTTCCCTGCAAATAGGGGCATTGTGTTTATTGGGTGTACATTATTATTTTTGATTACTATTCTTATTGTTGTTGTTTATGATTATTATTTGTCACTACTGCTTGCTGAAGATTGGCACTTCAAGATTTGTTTGTCCCTTGATGCCGTTGCTGAAAGAAATAAATTATTGCTATTAATATTATTCCAAAAGATTTTTAGATTCTGAAGTATTTCCCCCCTCCTCCTCCTCCACCTTCCTCATTCCCCATTTTCCTTCTCCTTACTCACTTTCCTCAGTTTGTTCATCACTGGCGTGGACTTTGGTTTTGTTTTGTTTGTTTCGCTGTTTGGTTGCTGGGGCAACTTTGCTGGATTTGGATTTTATTCCAGGGAATTTATTAGAGTGGGCTTCTCTATTCACCTGTAGTGACAAGCTCATCCTGCACAGGATCAGTCCAGTAATGATGCTAAAAATAACCAAGATAGTCTAAAGAAACATGAAGTAAATAAGAAGTATTTGGTAAAAGTGTGTTTTCTTGATTTACTATAGCTGTTCCACCTTTGAAAACTAATCTGCTCCCCCTTAAAGAGCACTTCTTCATCTAATAACAAAATATTTTTCTACGTCTGTGTTCTGAATTAGTGAACATACATAATAAGTGCAAGTCTGATTTTTTGTTTTGTTTTGTTTTTAATTTTTATAGCACTAAACAGCTCACGTGAAAGAAGTTAACATATTTACACTGCTGGCTCTTAATGTGGTTAGCTTATATATGGTGTAAATGGCATTATGAAGTTACTTTAATAGCAGTCGATACTTGAATATATCAAAACCTGAAGTACCGGTTTGTTAACTGAACAGACGTGAAGATAAAAGGAATCTATTGAGGCTGATAAACAGCCGTTTATTAATTCTGCCTCAAGTAGAACTTACCCTGATGACAACACACACACACACACACACACAATGCTCCTTCCCTCTATGTTCACCTGCTGCTGAGTGATTTAGCTTCTCTCTCAGTGCAACAACATGAGGTTAGAGGTGAGCACTCTTCCCCCAGGGGGTAGACGGAGAAGCTCTCAGCACTACAAAGACCAGGGACAAAGGCGCAGAGCAAGGAGCAACATGCACCTGAAGCCCTCTGCTCTGTCCTGCCGTCCCACACCGGCAGCTTTTAAGACCCAAAGTGTGTCTCTGTTCAAGCCACTGTGCCCAGTTTGTTAAACGGCATTCCTTTCACTTTTACCTGAAGTTCTAATCCCAAATTTTTTCACTTGAGCTGAACTTCTATATGTACTGTTTTTGATTTGTTTTTTACCTTCACCCATCCTCTCAGGCTGTTAAGATTTTACGAAGCAGTAAGTATTAGATATTAGATGACCTTTTTGAAGAGGTAAGTTTGAAGCAATGAGTGGACTTTGATATTTTGCTTGGTGCGTGCGAGCTAGCTGGTGATCTCACCTTGCGACATTGGCTTATAGTGTGTCTGTGTGTGCGGCACAAAAGATCAAAAGGGGCAGGTTGCTTAACCTGCTGACTTGTCTAAGCGAGACAAAAGGCCTGACAAAAGAAGGCAGAGAAAGACAGAGAGCTACTCCCTTCATTATGTCCCCCTTCTCTTCCCCGGACAGTGTTCTTCTTAAGATCCGGAGCCCTGAGAGAGCGAGCGGCGCACATTTCTCACTGAAGGATGGGCTAGGCCCTGCATGTCTCAGTCTCAAAGCACCAGCCAAGGGCTCTAAAGCGCCACAGACAAAGGATAAAGAAAGGAAAGGACACTTTTATCTGATGCGCAGATTATTATCGTTCCATGCCCTCTCCCTTCCTGCAACTCCACCCTAAACTTAAAGAGTTCCTGCGTCTAAAAAGATTAATTCAGGATAATGAAGAACTTGTGTGCAAAAAAAAAAAGGAAAAAAAAAAGAATAAATAAATAAAATAAGGATTAGCAAGACCTTAACGCCGTGTTGAGAATATTTTTGTCAGGTTTTGTTTTCTGGGGTCGTTTAATTTTTAGGATAACATTATTGAAATGCATATATAGCCTTTTTTTTATAATGTAAAGTATAAATCTATGGGAAAAAAATATATAGTGGAAGTTCTTTGAAAGGCACTGTTAGAAACTGTTTCATAAAAGAAATCCTGAGGGTATTTTTAGTGACAGTTTTGTTGCAATCTGTATTCTGAATGAGTTGTTGGTAGATTAGGAGCAATAGTAGTAGGTTTTTTGCAGGTTTTGTGACCAGTTTTTCCTTTTGGTTTCTTTACCTTTTTTGTATTGTGCTGAATGGCTGTCTTCTGGAGATCAAAAAAAGAAAAGAAAAATAAACTTGGAATACCTTTTCAGAGTATGAAATATTGTTGTCGCTGCTGTAAATACTGTCAGGATGAAACAAAGAATAGCTGTACAGATTTTTTTTTTCTATTATCACTCAGAGTGCTAGAGAGGGGTGAGTGGTTAAAAAAGGAAAAAAAGGAGACTTCACCCACTCTCCAACTGGACTCATAAGCACTCTTCTGAAATATCCACAGAGGAGTGGGGTATTTTTTTTTGGTTTGTTTGTTCCCCCCCTCCCTCTGCCATGCCTTTAACGGGAAACGGTTTCCCATCGGCAGTGCCCTTGAAGTTGCACCAGCATTCATTTCTTTAATTTTCCGAACAGAACGATGCATCAGACGAGCGGTGGGGTAACGGTGATGTCACAGCGCGGCCCGTTGGCAGCCTGTGCTCTTTGTGTCATCCAAAAAAACAAGGGCAGATTTCCGCCAACGTAGCTCTAGATTTGACCCAAGAGACAGACAGGAACTCATTGTCATCAGAAGACTAGTGCCATCCATGGATGGGGGAACACTGTACAGTGACAGATTAAAGGGGGGAAAAAAAACTGATTGCAGATTGAAGGGGGAAAAAAAACAGCGATTTGTACCCCCTTTTCACTGGGTTTAAAAGTTGATGAAAGTTTGGAATTTTGTGGAATTTCTGTATGCTTTGCAGTACATGCGCATGTGTGTGTGTGCACTGTATATGACTGCGTGTGTCTGCGTGAGAGAAAAGACCGATTATGAGAACCTGTGAACCAGTGTGTGACACAATTCTCAACACTGTGGCCCCTCCCCCACCCCTGGGAGTACCATCCTGACATGTAAATGACTCTCATTAAGCGTTTGGCAACATGTGTTTGGTGTGTGCGCATGTGTGTGTGTGTGTGTTGCGATAATTTCCTCTGATCTGTTTTCTGACCTGTTTGAAAGAGGTTTTTGTTTCTCGATGCTTTCAGTAGTAATTCCTTTTTTATTATTATCACATTGCTCCTCTTTTATTGTAAATATCAATGACGTGGACTTACAGTGATAAATACTGCCTTTGTATAACTTTAGCAATATGTTATGTAAATAATGTTTTGTTGATGCTTTTTGTATGACATTATTATTCAATTTTAGTGCAGTAATTCCAACTGGAACAGCCATGTTTTTCGGATACAGTCTGAATAGTTACACAGGTTGTAAAAATAAAACTCATGACATGGCTGCTTTTTTTTTTTTTCCTGTTATCGGTGTCTATTTGTCTTGCAGATTTTGTGTAATTTATTGGTTTAATTTATCCTAATTTATTTGATGTTGTTTCATTTTGTTTTTTCAAACAGGGAAGGCTGTACTGCATTTGAATAAGTAGAACCAACTTAAAAGATTTTACACTTTAACGAATTTACAATTTCAAAAAAGAAAAAAAGTTAAATTGACAGAAAAGATGAGTGGGGATTTTGGCAGCTACGTGAAACTGGACAGTTAAAACAAACAAAAAAAACTGGATTTGACAGGGCAGAGGGTGGACTTGAAAGCCGAAACTAGTTTGAAGCAGTTTTGTATTTTCTCTTGAGATTTTTTCCCTTGTATTGCTTTGGCCCAGCCCAAAAACAACCAGTAGTCAAATTGCCTTTCGTGCCTTCACCCTCTATGAACTGAATGTATGTGCAGTATATATGCAAGCTTGTGCAAAATGAATAAAAAATTGAAATAAAAATGAAAAAGAGAGTGAAAAGTGGTAGCTGTTTGTGGTTTGTTTTCTGTGTTTGTGTTTAAAGCATTGTGGGGGGGGAATCAGACTTTATAAAGATATCTATACTTAGAAATATACATGAATGCTGTAAAAGCTGGTGCTTTCAGTGAAGAACATACTAGCAGAAATCTATTTTGTTCCGCTAGCAAGCATTAAAAAAAAAGAATCATGGAAATAATAATCAAATGATCAATTTAGAAGTGCTGTGGTAATTTTAGTTAGTTTCTGTATAAGCTGATGGGTGTATAAAGCAGTTTATTGGGTTTCTGTGGCCAAAAAGCAATAGGGTTCAGCTAGTAATGGCCATAGTTGAGAGTTCTGTA